CCAGCCCCAGCCCCAGCCCCAGCCCCTCAGGACCAGACCAGAAAGACCAAGCTCCAAGGCTGCTGCCTCACGGGAACCGTGGCTCACGATGACAACTCTTTAACCTCCTCCTGTGGACGCAGCCGACTTGGGGTTGCCAGCCCCAAGCTTGGGTTGTGCAACATTCTTAGTTACTACCAACTTTCTGTGATTGCACTCAAACGGTTTCCAGAGGCCTTTGAGACTCCTGGTTACGGCTTTGAAAGCACTACAGCCCCACAGCCTCACCGAGCCTCTGGTCTCAGAGTCTTTGCCTTGCCCGCTCCAACTGCCCGGAATGAGCTTCCCCCATACCTCAGGCCTCAGCCCTTCTCTCCAGTCTCCACTGAGGAGTGTCTCATCCAAAAAGCGTCATCTGTCCTACTGACAGGGGTGTGTGTAACCTTACCCCACTGTCCTCTGCTAGAATTCGCGGCCGCTTCGAATTACACGATGCACTTGTTTGATGGTCGCCTATCTCTCTCTACCAGGATATTAGCTCATGAGAGGGGGACTTGGTCCACGGTGGAGCCCTGGTGTCTAGAATTGCGGGTAGCACATAGGAGCTGCCCAGTAAATATGTGTCGTGTTATGTCACAAACATGTACCCAAGCACTCCTTTTGTTACAGGAAATCATACCGGGGATGAAATATGAAGTACTGTATCTCCCAGCCTGTTAACTGCGTGATACCCTGAGTTGTTGTTCTCTAGAAGTCAAAGAATGAGTCCTAGGAGCAACGGAGGTTAAGCTCAGCCATGAGCATCCAATAAGGTTCCAAGTGTAGTCCCTTAGGTGACGGTGGTCCACTTGGGAAGCAAGGCACGTAGTAAGTGTGGATGGAAAGAACAAGATTCTCCTAGGAGGCGGTGGGCCAGAGGGCTCTGTCACCCACTGGGGTGGCTGATGTCTCTCTGGACTTTATTAGGCCCAGCATTTGTTCTTTGAGGAAGTATGTAGGTCTGGTGATCTTGTCTTTCTCTTGAGACCTGGTTTTCAGCTGATGAGTCTCTGGGCTCCGCTGTGGTGCGTCTCACCTTTGTCCCGACACTCTTGAGGACCCAGCCCTATCTGACTGCCTAGAATATTTCTACCTAGCTCATCTTTCTACAATATTTTCACTGATGTCTATTGAGGACGGAGAGCAATGTCTAACAAAAGCGAACCAAGTATGGCTCTTTCCTCTGGGGTTCTATAGTGACCTTTTGTGAGAAGGCAACAGTCTCCCAAGATGCCCTTTGATGATTAAAAATGGCAGCATTTCCACCTAGACTAGTTTTCTCACTGGCCTAATCTCTTTCACTATTTCTAACTCTGTCTCATGTTCCTGGGAAATTACTCAATAGATGTTCCTATTACTACATTTTTATTATGAAAGAATAGAATTTTGCCCACAAAACTCTATCTAAGGCCAGACTCACATATTTTTTTCTGTGCAATTGGGCTTGTCCCTCTGGTTTCTCTGTGGTGCTACTGGACATGCAGCACCCCAGGGTGGCCACCTCCTCTCCCTTCACCCCTCCTGTCTTTGCCCCAGTCAGCACCCTCCAGCTTTGTGTTTTTCAGTTATGGGTTGTGACTAACGCCCCATTTCTGGGCATTAAAGTCAATATGGTGGACTGTGAACAGCATTTTAAGAAAAAAATAGAATAGGAAATAGTGTTTTTTAATAATGATACATGATTTTAAAAGTTTGGGTTCAAAGAAGTTTTCATACTACTTTTCTCTTTCGGTGTCTTCAGAAGATTCTAGAAAGAGGTGTTTGCACTCCTTGCTTGACAGTGGACCTGAGTTTGGCTGTTCACAATGGTCAGTCAGCTCTTTTTAAAAATAGTTGACAACAGTATGGCAGTGGGCACACCTGCATATTTTAACTGTGTCTGCTTCATACAGCAGGCACAGCTGGGCACCCAAAGCCTGTCCTCCATTCAGTCCTGCCCTCTGAGACTCCCTGTACCCCAACATGGCTTCTGGGAGCCTCAGGTCACATTCCTGGGATGACCTAGACCCCTTTTGTGGTGCTTCCTGGAAAAGCTTAAGGCTGTGAAAATCATTCATAGTATTTTGTAGCCAACGCATGACTATAGGTCCTTGACCTCCTCTTAAGGTCCTTTGCTAAAGAAGGCTGACAATTGTGACTCTTTCCTCTGTCCCTTTGAGATGTGTCTTGAACATCTACCCCTCAAACACATCTTTCCTAAGGACGTGAGAGCCATTCCTTTTAAAGGAATCTTGGGAAGGACAAGGAGGCCTCTGTCTTATAATCCCTGTGAGAGAGTGGAATCTTCACTCGTGTGTGTGTGTGTGTGTGTGTGTGTGTGTGTGAGAGAGAGAGAGAGAGAGAGAGAGAAGGAGGGAGGGAGGGAGAGCAAGAGACTGAGGGACATTCCCCACACATCACACCATCAGCCCTGTGCACAGAACCAATCAGAAAAGTGTCATTTTCAGTTTTCATTTGAATCTGGTGCCGCTCACAGGACCATCAGAAGATGCTCTTTTCAATCCTTCATTTGCATGTGGGCACAGCCAATCAAAAGACACTGGTCCCGATCCCTCATTTGCATAGCGTTGGAAGCCAAGGGAGCTTTTCAACAGGACAATTTACACACGTTGTGAGTCCAAGTGAGTGCTCGATGGGGGACTGCCCAGTGCCTTGTTCGCATGAAAGAGATAACTGGAAATTTTGCAGGATACATCAGTCTAGAGTGCAAGTTTATCTTTTTCTTTTTTGGGCACCGGGGATCGAACTTGGGTCCTTGTGCTTGTGAAGCAGGTGGTGAAACCAGTGAGCTAAATCCCCCGCCCTAACCTGGAAATTTTGGACACAAAAGTCCCCTTTCTTTGAGGCTGCTGCTGTGAGTCTTGTCACCTGCCCGCTGTCACTCTGCCTAACTGCCTCTTTTCCACCTTCAGTAATGTGCACCTCCGCTGCCTCCGCTGGTATCTCCAAGTCTTTGTTCAGGACACCAGGAGAAAATGGTGCGCAGGCCACTAGGGAGAGGCGGAGATGCTGGATGAGGGCTGCCTCTCCAGGGAAAAGGAAACCCATCCAAGGATGAGGGCATCAGGGTCCGGGCGGGGCTAGGGAGCTGGGCAGGTTGCCACTGAGCAGGGAAATCCGAGGGCTCAGCCGGCAAAGTTAAGGTCAACATCCCATTTTACTTCACAGCCAATCCACTATGACAAGATGGAGCTGTGCACCAGGAATTCCTAAGGCAGAAGAGCAAGGCAAGGCCCAGGAGCGGGTGTCTGTCCAAAGTTAGTCACGGAATCCCAAATGTCTCCAACCTCAGACTTCCCTTCAAACGCCCTGGGCCTCTGCGTTAGAACCCACAGTGACACCGAGTGTTCAGCGTTCCACTTCATAGCCCGAGTTCCATGAACCCTGATCTCAGGAGCATGGGTGGACTGGGGCCTTGGAGGCCCTCAGAAGACATTGCTGGAGGCAGGGCTTACAAGTCAGATCAGAAATCGAAAACCCACAGGGGGACAACAAGCAATAAGTGGGGAGCCCAGCTGGGTTGGAGAAAGTTTGCTCAGAAAGGTGGTGCAGCCCCAGGGAGGAAAGGCATTGCATAGTTTACCACTGCGACCCGAACCTGACAGATCTTATCCTGTGAATTGATCTCGCCCCTCTTCAGTCAGCTGAAATGTTTTAAATCTCTATTTCCTCAGTGATTTTCCATTCGGTTACTATTTACTCATATCAACCATCTTTCAAACTCAAGCAGGATAAGAAACCAACAATATTACCTCAAGGACTTTTCTAAATAGCAAAGCTATACTTTCACAACTATAAAAGAATGATAATTGTATTTCCCTGAGAGTGTGGTTTGCTTTGAGTTCCAGGGCAGAGAGAGAGGGAGAGGGGAGAGGGGAGAGGGAGGGGGAGAGAGAGAGAGAGAGAGAGAGAGAGAGAGAGAGAGAGAGAGAGATGAGAGAGAGAGAGAGAGAGAGAGAGAGAGAGAGAGAGAGAGAGAGAGAGACCCAGCTCGCAGCTCAGAGGCTCCACAGAAAACTCCCCACCTGTGGTCCTGCTCCGACTTGTGCATGCATCTTAAGAAAAGTGTTCCCTCCTTGTTTCCTTCCTGGATGTCCCCTCTTCCCTGTTCTCTTACCCTTCTTGGGACGAGAGTCATGCACACCAGCTGCAGGGCCCACCCTAAGTTTCCAGACCCTCATCTCTGGAAGTGATCTCTGCATCCTCCTCTGTCCTCTTCTCAGCCAAGGGTCCTCTGTGCCCTCGTGGGCCTGCCCAGCGCGAAGCCTGCTGCGTCCTGCCTGGTTCCTGGGGATCTTTGTCTCTGGGTGGATCCCACCCTGGCTCTGTGGTGTGGGTTAGAATGGTCAGCTCGGGGCAATGGGTGTGACGATGATGATGATGATGATGATGATGATGATGATGATGATGATGATGATGATGGAATGGGAATTAGAGTTTTAAGAGCTCCCAAGCCTACTCGGGGCCTAGAAGACCGATGGATCCCTGATGACTACATAACAAAGCTACCTCAGAATGACTCTAACAACTTCTTGTTCTTTCCCTGGAAGCTCCAGGCTGGCCGCTTCAAGTGCAGAGCTCCAGACCCTGCACACAGGAATATCTGTCCCCTACCCCACCCCCTCACGAGAACGGCCCTGGGGGTTCTGGGGTGCAGGTACCTGCGGTTTTAACCCAATTCACCCACTTATCTGGGGTTGGAGACTTCACTGAGCCTTCTTCGCAACACGTAGGCAGCACTCTGAGCTCGTCCTGGACTTGAGAAGGGGATTCAGAATCAAGCTCATAACTCAGAGAGCCTAAGTCTGCATTTTCCCAGCGAACCACACAGCTCAAAATTTGCTGGTTGCTCTCCTCAAAGGATAGGCATCCACTTCCGGAGAGGGAAGGCTCTGTCCTTGAGCGAAGGTTCTCCATCTATGCTAATAATGTTGACGCTGGATTTCTTCTTGGACTAAGACTGATTTTCCCCATTCCTCACAAATGGCTTCCAACAAAGATCCCAAAGAGAGAAACATACAAGCAACCATCAGTGGCTGAGCAAGGTGCATGGCTTCCACCCCCACCACTGCCACCAAAAGGCAACCAGCATGCAGATATGCGTCTCATGGCAGCTATGTCGAAGAAAAGACAAACTAGAGTGTGGCCTACACACCCACTCACCAAGCGTCTCTAGGATGGGCGTTTGGCATTTGTCTGTGTCCCCGTAGCTTGGCAAACATGAAATGAACTAGATGAAACTGCAGGACTGAACCAGATGCAATCATTTCAGTGGAGGGTATTGCAAAGGTCATTGCAAAGGATAGTGTGTTCTGAATGTCTACAAATACGTTTTTGATCGTCCCATCTTCCTTTTCCCGGCAGGGGGCTGACCTGTCCCACCAACGTTAAGACAGAGAATTTGACATAGTAACAAGCATTTGTATTTTTTTCCTCAACAATCTAGGCATAAACAGAAAACTTACTTGTCATTTTCCAAGATTTTAAAAATCTGTTTTGAACATCAGGTTCTTCTGACCGTAATTTTTTAATGAAATTAAATTCAAGGCCAGCCCTAACACCCCTAACTTGCCAAACTGCTGAGGAGTACATGCAAAATATGCCCCTGTGGCATGAATAAAGCTCTAAAAAGAGAACTGAAATCATGCAATGAAAATAAAGTACCTTCCATAATGCAGTTACTATGTTTTTAACTACAGCATGTGAAACAAGATCTGTTAACCTGTTTCTCCACCCCCAGGATTAGAATGCATTTCCAGTGAGCTCATTTGAAAGTCCTTGTCTTTAGAGTGAAGGGCAGATTCTGTTCTCTGAATCAAAATCGAGCCACATGACCCCAAACCCAAGGAAGAGAGCTTTGAAGGATCCTGAAAAAGTAGGTTCTAGGAGGTTCCAAAAACACAGACCCAAATCACTGCCTAAGTAGAAAAAACACTGTCAAAAAGAGTCTGGAATTCTCTGGTGCTGGCAATGTTAAGATGCTTACATTTTTACAAAACAGTAGCTGAGGGCTCTGGAAACCTCTTTTCTACATTACACTACAACCGTTGGCCATTAAAAGGCCAGGGCACCGGGCTGTGGCGAAGGTGATTTTGTCTGCTGAGGACAGATCTAGTCCAAGGCAGGCCACTCTGAGATCAGAAAAAGCAGGAGCTTCAAAGAGCAGAATACAAGGCTTTTATCTCCTCCAAAGCAAAGAGTCCTTCCCAGACCCCTCTTCAGGGACCTGCCCACTGGAGGGGTCTATGAGGTCCTCCAGACAGGAAGCCAGAAGACGGACCCCAGGGATTTTGTACAGTTTACAAACAAAGGGTAAGAGAAAGGTGGGAAGAAGAAACACCGTCACACCTCGCCGCATGGATCCTTTGCCAATCCTGAAGAACGAGACCCGGGTTGAGTTTGAGCTTGGTTTTTGGTTTTCTCACTCTTAGCTGGACGGTATGGAAGGAAGGATGCGGACAAAATGGGAAGACCTGGGTCCAGACTCCTGGCTTCGTACTTGCTGAGCGAGCAGGGGAGGGTCACACGACCTCTCCAAAATTCGATTTCTCATCTGTAGTCAGGAGTGACAACTGCCAGCCACCAGGTCATCATCAGGGTTGATAAAAGAGATGTAGGAAGATGCCAAGCAAAGGACCTGTGGCACAGGCAGGCATGTCCTGACTTCGTCCACCACTCCTCTGCGCCTTCCCGCCTGAGGTAGGTGAGCACACACTCCTGGTCTCAAGCGTCAGCTGACCCTGAGGCAGACCCCCAACGGGACATGCGGCGGGTGGGGCCGCCCTCCAGGTCCCTCTGCAGTCACACAGACACTGCTCCCGGCACGATCCTGCGGATGTGGGTGTAGGACTTCCTAATGGTGACGCTGCCGTGGTGTGACACCCCCCGGGGCAGGACGCACTCCTCCGTCAGTTTCTGGGTCTCCGGGTCCCAGCACAGCACCGTGGCGATGACCTGGTTCTTCTCCTCCCGCCCGCCGGTGATGTACAGGCGGTTGTTGCAGGGCGCGATGCCACAGCTGGCCCGTTCATGGCTGAGCTGGGTCACCAGGCTCCAGCTGTCCTCCAGGGGGCTGTAGGCGTACAGTGCCCTCATGGCCCCGCCTGAGGAGGAAGAGCACAATGGTGAGCATCACATGGCCATCCTTCCGTTAGCGCGTGACAGTTCTACTCCCGGTCAGGCCAAGCCCATCCTCTTGCCACGGCAGCAGGGCATGGCAGCTTCCCCTGCAGAAAGCCAGGTGGGTCCTAGGACCAACGAGATGCGTGTGGAGGTGCCGCCTCTGCACTCTACAGCCAGGTGTGCGCGGAGCTCCTAGGAGCACCTGCCTTCCCAGGGCTGCAACAGTGCACCTGAGCGAGCTGCTCCTGGAGGAGACACCCACCAGTGCCTCTGACGGACCAGGCCCATAACCCCAGCTCTGCCACGACCTGGGACCACGGGCACCAAGACCTCAGCGGGTATCTGAAGTCAGAAGGCCGGGCTCAGTGGGCACCCTGCAGAGAGCTGGCACACAGAGCTGGGGGTGGCATCTCTGTCTACACTGAGCAGGACCTGGGACACCAGCCCAAGTCACCCGTCTCGAGCTGAGCCCTTTGCAGCAGCCAGGAGGCTGGCCACGAACGAACACATGAGGAACCGCAGGGAGGGAGAGAAGCATTCTCTTCTGGACCAGTTCCAGGCTTCTGCCCGGCTCTCATTCACAGCAGGGATCCATTTTCCGGCATCTCCTTAATCAGTGGTTCTGCATCCTGGATGCTCATTAAAATCACCTGGGAGTTTTTAAAAATACAGTTCTGCCGTTCCCCGACAGCTGCCTCCCGTTCTGAGCCCGCTGCTGTGGGGTAAGGCCCAGTGACCTTTATGTCTGTAAAAAGCTCCCTGTGAGTCTAATGAGCAGTCGGGATGGAGAGCTCCCTTCCTTCACAATTACACGCCAGCTGTGGTCTGAAAGGCGGGACTTTCCTTCGGACTAAACGCAACTTTTCAGAGTCCCTGAAGCAAGCCGAGAAGAGGTAAATTCCCCTGACACACCAAATGAGCAATACCGATCACTACCCTTTGCCGGGCACTTACTGTTTCAATTTCTGGACGTTTGCTAATGTTTGTCTCACAACTGCACTCCTGACCTCTGGCCCACAGTGTCCATCTTCTCCCGGGACTTGGAGGGAAATTCCACCCAGGCCCGGACGAGCCTTCTCCTGTCTTCCTTTTCAGCCCCACTTAGATCACCCAGGATTCTCAAGGGGGCCTTTTGGATCTCCAGCCTGGCTGCACAGGTCAGGGACCTCAAATAAATGACAAATGAGAAGCCGACACTCACCAACAACATAGATGCGGTCCCGGAAACTCGCTGCATTGATGCATTTCGCCTCCACAGGCATGGCCGCCTTCAAAGTCCACTTATTGGTGGAAGGGTCATAGCACTGGGTCTTGTCCGTGGCTAGTTTCCCATTGGGCCCGCCCCCTATCACATAGAGCTTCTTCCTGTGGCTGGTGGCTGCGAAGGAACTGACGTGGATGGGGAGGGGCGCGACCTGCAGAACACAGAAGCTGTCGGCCGAGCTGCCCAGGTGGCAGGACCTGCGCCCCAGGGACAAACCTGGGCGCCCTGTGCCTGAAGTCACAAGGCCCATGGCTTGATCCCTTAAGATCCAGAGGGAATCCAAGTGTGCACTGCCCACCCTCCTAGCAGGCCCCAGGACTCCTGTTCACTCGCAGGCTGGCTCTCAGGAAAGGAAGGCTGAGGCAGAGGCGGGTGTTTGTGTGTCAGACAGCTGAAGTCGGCCAATGTGCGAAGAGAATGATTTTTTTTTCAAACTGTATTCATGTGCTCGTTCACTCAAAAAACCCTTTGTGAGTGCCGACTATGTGCCAGCAGTGATCATCCTTGGTGCTTACACCCAGGAAGAGATGCTGGCATGTTTAAGGTGCTCACTGGTAAGCAGACTCTTCCATGCTAGGGCACACTACAGATTTGGGGCCAAAGCCAGTATTGTGCACATTGAAGGGGATCCCCAAGAGCTTCTTGCCCTTTTACATGAGCTCTTGAGGTCACAGGGCACCTCCACGACTGGACTTGACTGGAGCAGAGCTTGGGCGCACCCCCAAATGGGAAGGATCCCCAGACAGCACGTTTGGGGCTGACTGCTCTTGGCCGGATGTGGTGGTGACCAGGCAACTTATGCCTGTGCCGAAAGTGACTGCGCTTTACACCCGCCAAAGCTGAAACGCGGCCTGACAGGGAGAGAGGAACTCGGAACTGGAGGCTCACCTAGAAATACAGGAAGTGGGGCCCCTCTGCTGGTCGTGAGGTTGCATTGGTAAAGACTTGAATGCAGGCCTTCAAGTGGCCCGTACTTAATGGGAAACAAATAAGGGCTGACTTCTAAACAAGGCCAAGAGACGCGAGGCTCAAGGGCCGTGTAGGACGGGGTCCGAGTGTGCGGAGTGGAGAAGCGAACAGAAGGCGTTGGAGGAGACAGACTCAGGGAAGACCGAGGACCAAGGTCAGCCCCCGTCCCCCGTGGCGCCCACGCGGCCTCACTGAGCAGCAAAGCGAAAGGCAGGGGTCCCCGGGGAGGGAGGCTGGGCGCCCCCTAAAGGAACGCTGGCCGCACCGAGCGCATGTGGAAGAAGCCACGAAGTCGCTCAAGGAGACGCCGCTCTGCTGTACCTCGGACCAGCAGTTGTGGAAGGGGTCGTAGGTCTCCGCGTTGTTGATCCTCTGCAAGCCGTCGAACCCGCCGATGACGAAGACTTTGCCGCCCACCACCACCATCTTGTGCCTCCAGCGGCCTACGTTGAGGTACTCGATCTGAATCCACTTGTTGATCGAGGAGTTGTATTTCCAAACGTCGTGCTGGGTTTCTTTGCCGCCTGCGTGAGACCCGAAGCTTTCAAGGCAAAGCCAGGTGTGCCCGGAGGACAGCCTTTCCCGGCATCTCCCAGAACTCCAGGAGCGCTGGGCCCCAGCCCGGGCCCACCCTCTGGGGGGAGACGAGGAACCCCGAGGGCTGTGCGTTGGGGAGGCCCCCGGGCTGCGCATTGGGCCTCCCCGGGGCCGCCCAGGAGTCCAAAGAGACGGAGTTGGGCCAGAGACGGCTTCAGGGAGGACAGCGACGGGCCGGAGGTGAGGACGGGGGAGGCTGGGCCACCAGCAAATTACCAGGCCACGTATGTTTATCTACTTAAACGAAAAAGCAAAGAAGTAAATGACTCCCCCCCAAAAAAAGGTCTGAGAAACCACCCAGACATCTAATAAAATTTTCCTGGATCATATATTCTATTTTCAAGTTAATTTTTATAAGCATGAGATGCTGAGATATTTTTTTGTTTTTGCAGTATTGGGAATAGATCTCAGGAGGCGCCTACCAATGAGCTATGTACATCCCCTCCCCTCCCCCAGCCCTTTTTATTTAGAGACGGGATTTGGTTAAATTGCCCACACTGGCCTCAAATTTATGATCCTCCTGCCTCAGCCTCCTGAGTAGATTGTTTCAGATTATTGGTTAATATTTCCTTCAAGAGAACTGAATAAACAGAAACAAACAAACACAATTCAGCAGTTAGGTAGAGAAACCAAGACAAAGGGAAGCTGCTATTTTTCTGGGCCATTGTAAATACTTTGTTTCCATTTTCCCATCCACACACAATCCCACCAACTGCTCAAAGCAGATTAATTGTGAAAGGGAGTAGTGACGCCCAACAACTAGGCCACACACACACACACACACACACACACACACACACACGGAGAGGTCCGACAGGAGACTTTATTCGGGGAGCAGGAGCAGAGAGGGAGAAGGGGCAGAAGAACAAACAAAGAAGGGAAGATCCTTTCATCAGTTTTGGGCTGGGCTATTGCTTATTAATGAGGAGTGAGCCACTTCTAACCTATCACAGGCCAGATTGCTTTTATGGGCCCCCTCCTGCAGACACAGGATTCAACTTCCTGGACCACTGTGGCCTTGGGGGGGAGGGAAACCAGAGATAAGGGCATGAGGTCATTTCAGGAGCCAAGAGGTACCAGGAGAATGCAGTCTGTGAGGCGGCGTCACAGCATACCGTAACATGATCAGTTCTTAGACTTAAAAATGTGCAAGAGGGGGCAAAGAATATCACTGACAATGCTCTAAGGACAGATACCTGTTTCTCTAGAGAGGAACCCAGCTCTGGGTTTTCTAGGTCTAAAGTTCCAAAAAGTAAGGAAAAAAAAAGCAAACACCAGGCAAACAGCCAAAAGATAGGAACGGGTCATTTAAAATAAATAAATACAATGATCTAATTATTGTATAAAATTATGTTCAACCTCACTAATGATCTAGTAGTGCTAACGTAAATGTTTAGCCTATTAAAATATAAATGTGTATGTAACTGTATTGTTTACCTTAAATGCACCAATAAACTTAATGGAAAAAAATATATAAATGACCTTCTTCACCGTTTTGTACACATTTGAGGTACATAACGTTTACACTCCATGTGCAGGTGGGAGGGGAGGGAGGGAAGGGACAGAGGGTGGGGGGAGGGATTATGACGTGTTACACACTTGTACCAATTCCCCACGAGGGACGCCAACATTGCGCCCTACTAACACATACTGTTCTAGTAAAAGGGAATTTTAAAATGTGAATGACTAATAATGGCACTGTCATTCATCTCTGGTGGAACTATACATTGGCAAAATCTTTTTGGAGGACAAGTCAGCAATATATATAAAAATTCTCAGTTCATGTATTTTTCTTTCTTTTCTTTTTGGTACTGAGGATTGAATTTGGGACCTTGCGCTTGCGAGGCAGGCGGCAGAACCACTGAGCCAAACCCCTGGGCCCATAATTCATGTATCTTATGACCACTTCTAGCACCTTTCGAAAGAACCTCACAAGTGCATGAAGTATACAGGTATAAGAATGCCTTGTTATAAGAATGCCTTGTTCTCTCTGTGTGTGTGTGTGTGTGTGTGTGTGTGTGTGTGTTTTAGGAGCTTTTAAAAAAATAAAACATATATATATGGTTCACCCATTCAACAGGCTGCCTGACAGTTGCTGAAGAGAAGAGCAGCGGTGAGGGCAGAGGATGACACTGTTGTCTAACTCTGACCGCCTGTCTAACTCGTGTCACGCCGCGCTTTGCATGTCGTACGTCTCTTACTACATCCGTCTGTGACACCGATGTATAACAGCATCCGAAGTACACTGTGAACTGAAGTACGAGTTTCCATTGGTGTAACTGTGTATGCCAAGCACACCTTTTATGCACTGCTTATATCATTTAAAAAATGAACCGCAAATTTAAAAGAGGGGAAGAACCAGTTGAGGAATACCAGGTGCTGCGTATGTGAGAAGGACGGATCATGACCACCGAACCTGTTTTTTGCTCCTGGGCGCAGAGCTGGACTATGTTTCCCAGCCCACCTGTATTAGGGGAGGGGAAGATGAGTGGCTGGTTTTGTCCCTGAGCGGGATCAGTGTGGCCTTTCCAGGCTGAGGGTTTTTTGTTAGTTTGTTTGTTTGGTTTCTGGTTTTTAATTCCTTGGAGACAGGGTCTCACTCTGTAGTTCTTGCTGGCTTTAAACTCACTGTGCAGCCCAGGGGGGCCTCAAACTCGCAGTGATCCTGCTGCTTCAGGCTCCCGGTGCTGGGATAACAGGTCTGCGCCACCACGCCCCACGACGCTGAGGCTTTTGTGAGCAGAGATTCCCTCTCAACTCGCTCCGTTTCTCTCTCTTCCCTTAGTGAAGCCCACGTGTGGGAAATGGCAGTGTCACCGGGTGGGAGGACCGGGGTCCCTGAATGCTGCACGGAGCAGAGGGACCCTGTATATCACCCCCGCCACGTACCACCATGTGGATTTGTTGCAGCATGCAATGTCACTTACCCTAAAACTATTTCATAAAGACATTAAAACAATTATAATGGAGCAGAGAAACTGCCATATTTAATATTCTGCTCTCTCTTGTGGGACTCTTCTATCAGACTTACAAGTATTTCTGCAAGATCAGTCAGGAGGCCAGGGGAGGAGAAGCTGCCTCCTGCCTCTGCTCCCAGGAAGAGCCAGGTGGCTTTTGAGGTGAGGGCGGGGCCTGGGACCTAGGCTCAGCACCTGGGTTCGATTCTGCCTGACACCCACCAGCGTGTGACCCTAGTTATGTTCTAGAACCTCTCTGAGCCTCTGTTTCTTCCTATCTTCAAAATACCTGCCTCATGGAGCTGATGTGGGAGGAAACAACGAAAACAGTTTTTTTATTTAAAAAAAATTTTTTTTGGTACCGGGGATCAAACTCAGGACCTCACACTTGCAAGGCAGGTGGCAGCACCACTGAGCTAAATCCGTAGCCCATAAAAAGTTATTATAGATTCATCTACTATGCAGTAAAGATGGTTGAGGCCATGCCGTTCAGTAAATATTGACTGAGTGTTTTCTCTGAGGCCAGTTTTGCCTCCTGGAAACATGGTCTAGTGAGAAGCCAGTCACAAGAAACTGGAAATAAGGGAGCAACAAATTAGCAATAAAAAGTGTGCTTTTTCATATTACTTCACTAGGACACTGAAATGTATCAGAACATGAACTGATAAACTGGGGAGGGGTCAGGTTTGGGGGTTCATTCATTCATGACTGCTCTCCTGCTACGGTGTTCCTAGCATAGCATCCGATTTCCAGAGCCGATACCAGGTAAGCACGAGGGTCACTTTCCTTCTTTTCCCATGCCTGCTCTCCCAGGTCTTACCTAACACAATGTTCCTTGCACTTTAGAGTTTACTAAGTAATAATCTGACGCTGTCAGGGCTGGGTCCCTGCCAACTTGCAGTCACTGCACGACAGCAGGCGGGTTGCCTGGCTCTCAGGAAAACGTGCCACTGTGCCACTGGGGCTTCCCACGACTCCTGCTTACCTGAGATGTAGACCTCATTTTTTAATGTCACGCATGCAAACTCCACCCACTTCTTATTCTCACTGTCCAGCTCATGCTCGGTCAGTGGGAGCTTGGCCACCTCCAGGCGGCTGCGGCGCAGGGGGTCCAGGCAGGTTACCTCTGCCACAAATCGTTCGTCCTTGGTGCAGCCGCCGATGATCATGAACACCTCAGACTGGAACTCATGCATCCTGGGCTTGGTGCGCTCCGAAATTATCTGGAAATCAGCGAGGGCAGGGACACGTCAGCCATTGGTGACACGAGGGTTCGGAGCTCGGGCTATGGAGCCACACAAAGCAAGTCTTAGTTCCAAAATCTGCCACTATCTAGCCGCAGGCTGCACCTCCTGGCGTCAGTTTCATCGTCTGTATAATTTGGACTTTGTGTTAAATACTGCATAGGTTTGGTGTGAGGATTAAATGGGGTTATATATGTGCTGTGCTTGGCCCAGGGCCTGGTGTATAAGTCCTCAATAAATGTTGTTCGTGGGCCAGGATTTAGCTCAGCGGTTCGGTGGCCTGCCTTGCAAGCGCAAGGACCCGAGTTCAATCCCCGGTACCAAAATAAATAAATAAATGTTCGTTGTTTTTTTACTGCTATTTTAAGATGACAAGGTCTATCTATCTATTTGCTATCAGATGCACTTCCTGCCTCTTCCCTCCTACCTAGTCTGAAACCTTAAATCCTGGAATTTCATTTGGGGCTTTTTCCTTTCCCCACTGGTTTCAATTTCTTCCAGACACCTCAGACTGTGCTCACCATCGACGTTCTCCTGAGAGAGAAATCCATGCCAGTGACTACAGAGAGCCTTCAGAGACTTAAAAGAACCAGAGGGATCGGGGTGAGGCTGGAAAGGATGGGGACTGAGCCCAACATCACATCTGGGACCCTGAGGAGCCTTAAATGAGTGAAGACATCTACATCACAGGTGTCTGAATTGCGTTCAGAAGACGGAGGCTGGGAAGTCAAGTGCACCAGGGTTCCACTGCCTCTGACATGCTGTGATGGGTTCTGTCATCTGATCACTGTGAGCACTGGGGAGGTCGAGAGGACAGAGCTGCATGGAGGAGCGGGCGGAGGTGTCAGACGGATGGTGCTAGAAGAGGAGGAGCTGCCTCCCCTGGCCCCCATCCCAGGCACAGTGGGGAGGGCTCTGCACTGCTGACGGGAGACAGAGGCAGGGCCCACTGTCCAGATGGCACACTCTTCCTGCAGTTAGGCTGATCTCACGCAGGTGGTGGAGGTCTCAGTTACTTTTCTCATTGCTGAGACAAAATCCCCAACACCCAAGATTAAAGGAGAGATTTCTTGTAGCTCACAGTTTCAGTTCATAACTGGCTGGCTCCAAGGCAGGGTGGCATGGCAGAGGGGCACCAGAGAGCAGGCAGAAGGCAGCAAGCAGCCAGCATCAACCCTCTTCCTGTCGCTTATATCTTATCCAGACGACAGGCCCTTAGAGCAGGTAGCGCTCACATCCCAGGCTGGGGCACCCTTAATCCTACCCAGAACTACACAAACCAATCAGTGAGCTAATTTAGCGATCACACACCTCCAGCCACCTCCAGTGACAGCCTGAGGCTCGACGGTGGACATCGAGACACAACCCATTAACAGTGGACCTTTGATTTTTGCCCACGAGTGTCACTAACTTGGTTACAGTAGCAGACTGCATCCTAAAGGAGAAACCAAGCAATGGCCTCAAGTAACTGGACTGGGCCACACCAAAGCTCTACTTTTCCGTGAGTCTTTAATTATTTTTCTGTGCCAAAGAACTAGATACAGTATGTTTTGCTTTCTCAATTCTTTTTATTTAAGGAACTAGGGATCGAACCCAGTATCTTTGTACTAAGCTACATCCCTAGCTTTATTAAAATTTTTATCTTGAGACTGGGTCTTATTAATTCACTAAATTGCCAGAACTGGGCTAAAACTCCCAATCCTCCCGCTTCCCAGAATGCCAGGATTACAGGCATGCCCCAAGCTTGCCTGCGTACTCACTTCTCGAAGCTGGATCCTGGCCCTGAAGTCTGTAGCCATGCCCCTCTTTGCGGCTTAGCAGAAAGAGTGGAGGTGTATGTGGCAGGACACAGCCTAAGCAATGGGCTGAGCCTGGGGACATCAACAGCAGAAAGGCCATCAGAGCTGAGCGTGGGAGGGCAGGGAACTCGGAGACACTTCCAACAAGCTAGCAGGAGAGGCTCTTAGCAGTGAGCTGACACCAAAGACAAACTTTCTGCAACTTGTTCTCAGCTTCAGCCCAGTTCCTGTCCCTCAAGCTCCTTTCCCCACTGCTGAGGCACAACCTCCAGCATCAAGACAGTCCTCTCTCAGAAGGGATTTAGGTGCCATAGGCCAGCACTTAAAAGACAGCAACCAGCCTTCCAGAATTGGGGCCCTTGTGACCCTTGGCTGGTCCAGGCATCACCTTTTCTCTGAAGCCCCAGTTTCCCTCACAATGCCTGATTTCCCACCTCAGTTACATGCTGGGAGCTAAGCGCAGCCTGGACCAGCCATGATCTGACCTCCTGGTGCCCAGGGCTGCCCTCTTGTTCTATGGTCCTGTATGTCAAATACTCTGCTCCTCCTGGAATTCCTGAGTTCCTGCCTGCTGCCTGGATCTCCTTGTGATATCTGTCTTCTACTTCCCATGCTGTTTCCCTAACCTTTACGCCATTATGAGTTCCTTAGTGTCTCTCTATCCTAACTCAGGAAGCCATTCCTGACTTTCCACGTGTGTTCATAACTGAATTTGCCCGTCTCGACTTGTCATACAGCTTTGTAGTTTACTATATGGCCCCTGATGGCAGCAACAGCCATAGAAAAACTCAAATGCATTCTTAAGAATGGTGCCTGGCGCTTGTAATCTTCTGTAAACATTGGTTGAATAAGTGAATGAACGAATGAATCAATGGACAAGCTAGGAACTAGCTCCTGACATGATTTTTTTTCCAGTCTAAAACACCACGGTGGCTGTGGGTGGTGGTGCACACCTGTAATCCCAGCACTTGGAAGACTGAGGCAGGAGGATCTCTGTAATCGCTATATAGTGAGTTCAAGACCAGCCTAAACTATATAATGAAACCCTGTTTGTGGGGGAAAAAAAAACAACAGAACAAAACAAAACAACAAAATCCCCGCTTCACTGTGGTAACCAGCTTCCACAATGGTGCCAGTGATGTCTGCCCCCAAACACGCACACCTTAGGTTATTCCTCCGTATTGTTCCAGAATCTATGTCTCAATACACGAAGCGGAAGTCATGGCTCATCAGGCTGTAAAAGGCACCACAGCTCCCATCTTTGTTGCTCTGCCATTCACAGATCGCTTGCTCTGGAGGAAGCCAGCTGCCTCTAAGAGTCCCACACGGCATGAGACTGAGCCTGCGGCTAACAGCCATCAAGGAGAGGATACCCGAGAACAGTCCTAGGAGGAGCTTGAAGTGGATCCTTCAGCCTCAGTTCAGTTTGAGACTGCTGCAGCGCCTGACAACAAACTGACTGCAGCCTGGTAGGAGACCTTGAGCCAGGACCGTCCTCGTAAGCACGCCTAGATTTCCGATGCTTGAAACTTGTGAATGCTTATTCTGCCATTGCGTGCGCCTGCCTGTGTATAGGCACGTGCATGTGCGTGTCACTGGGGATTGAACCCAGGGCCTTGTGCATGCTAAGCAAGCAAGCGCAATGCCACTGACTGTTACCCCCAGCCCTGTTTGTTTCATGCTGTTAAGTTTCGGGTAGCTTGTCACACGGCAGTTGATAACTAACATGACCATCCAGCTGATGGGTTTGTCTAGGACGCTGGGGGTTGTGTTGTGACTGAGCTCGAAACTTGATAGTGCTGCGTGATGGCACTATCACTAAAGTGTAAGTTCAGCTACCTTTAGCAAAGCATTGACCCCGGCGGCATGAAAAAGTGTTGCAGACATGTGAAGCATCTGCCAATGCTTTGTAGGCAACAGTCAGGTCTAGCCAGTTTTTTCCCAGCTTGTTAAAAACAAAGCAGGCAGCTGTGTCTTTCTAACGACTCAGTGTCCACCAAGTCTACTTCGGGAACCAAACCAAAGCGACCACATTTCAACAAAGCTGTCCTCAGGAGTGGATGGAGTTTCTGTCCCAGAGCAAGCTTTGCTACAGACTGATTTAGTCCCCGGAATCTTGGGCAGCAGTTAAATGAAGGGGTAACTTCTTCCTGAAACCACCCCCAAGACCTCCTCTGATGAAGATTCCAGCCGCCATTCTGGAGCCAAATGTTAACTGAGATTTGTTTTTAAAATTCTAAAAATTTCCTCCGACTTGGAGGCTGGAAAAGGCTAAAGAGGGGACGCTCAGATAAGAAGAGCTACAGTTCAGAAAATGAAGGTTGAGGTGAAAAGTGCATTCACAAAGTACCCTCTCAACTCACACTACTGTCATCAGGAATAAACCCACATCCAGGGGGAACAGACTGGAGTTTTGGGGAGTGAGACCCAAATTCAGGGTCTTCATGGTTCATTGGCTCAGTTGCTTGGACTGTAAAATGGGAAGGAAGAAGGGCCCTGAGCAGGATTTGGAGAAATAAGAGCAGAAGCCTGAAACTTGTGAAAAGACAGGTCTCAGTCCCAAGGAAAGAATGCGTTGGACTGTGGGAGACAGAGCAACCCCAAAAGAACAGAGTGAGAACAGCACCAGCTTCTGCCTGTGCGGCATGTATCATGTACCAGAGCCTTGTACCGAACACACTGCATCTATTACCCCGGTCAACTCTCAAAACAGTTCTATCAGCCGGGTGTGATGGCGCACGCCTATAATCCCAGCACTCAGGAGGCTGAGACAGGAGGATTGCTGTGACTTCAAGACCAGCCTAGGCTACACAGTAAGTTCCGGAGCAGTCTGAACTACACAGTGAGACCCTGTCTCAAAAAAAAAAAAAAAAACAAAACATTTCTATCAGTTGCTAGGTAATATCATCCCCATAGTGCAGATTAGGACCAAGCCTGATAGCAGCCAAGTCACTGGCCCAAGATTACACCGCCAATAAATTATGCAGGCAAGATTAAAATCTTGAAAATGTAAAAGACAGTAGAGATATTTCATTGTAGTGATTTTTGTAGAAGACAGAGCAGGGACTTTCCATATCAGAAGAAAGCCTTTGTCTCCTGCATCTTGGGGAAGTAGGAAACAGGAAGCGTATGAATACGGTTTGAGTTTGTCTCCTAAATCCCATGGGCTGGAAGCTTAGGCCCCACTGTTCTGGTGCCAAGGTAGTGGAGCTTTTAACAGGTAGAGTCCGGTGGAAGATAATCAGATTGTAGCAACGCCACCTGCAGAAGGATAAACGCTGGTTTCTCATGGTGGATTAGTAGATTGTTATAAAGCCAGCATGCATGGCCGCTCTGAACGCAGCCAATTTCCTTTTCTTTTTTCTGCCACATTGTGACATAGAAGGCCCTTGCCAGGATGCTAAGGCCATGCCCTCAGGTGACCAGAATCATGAGTCCATAAACCTCTTTGTTAGTTACTCCACCTCGGGCATTTTTGTTATTGCATCACAAAGTGAACTAAGACACACTGTCATATCTGCCACATAGCTGGTGCTCAGGATTTCTTTCTGAGAATGGAAGCACCAAATATTTAAATATGGCTCTCAGGAGAAATTTATAAGACTGATGCCAATTGTTTTTTAAGGGCTCAGGTCACTGTCCTCAGCTTCCACCAAGTTTTTTTTTTGTTGTTGTTGTTGTTTTTTTGGGGGGGTACCGAGGACCAAACTCTGGTCCTTGTGCTTTCGAGGCAGGTGGCAGAACCACTGAGCTAAATCCCTGGCCCATTGAACCAAGTTTTGAAATAGAAGTGGAAGTTAGCTGGAGGAAGAAAGAAACCCTGAACAACACCTGCATGGCCAGGAGGCTGGAAACGCCCATCCCCTTCGGGGACCCACAAGCCACTGGCGGACTGCAGCAGAAGAGGGAGGCCAGATGCCAGCCAAGTGTGCTGCGGGTGAACCAGCGAGGCCAGGGTGGGGGAGCTCAGGCCGGAAGTGGGGAGCCAGGGAAGAAAAGGAGTCCCAGAGCAGCTGCTCACACTTGAGTTTCAGGTCATCCCCCGGGTGAATGAATCAGAGGGACGCCAGACTGGAAGCAGGGAGACGGTTTCTGAGAGATTTCCTGAAATCTAGGGAGGAGACAGTGAGAGGCTGGACCAAGGTGATGCCGGAGGCCATCTAAGAGACACGAGGTTTCAGGAGAGCAGCGATCTGGGAAACAGGAGCCCCGTGGAACGGTGCTGGGCAGGTCGCAGCCCCGCAGGGGTCCGTGTTGTCCTCTGTTGTCCTCCCATCCTCACACAATTGGGAAGAGGGAGGCTGTGCCAAGCATGGTGCGGGGGGCTTTCTGAGCTCACCAGAGCCTCTGGCATCTGCCCGAAGACGCAGTATCACCCCCACTTTACAGATCGGGAACCCAGGGCTCTGGAGCCGCCCGACTCCAACTCCGAAGGGCAAACGCTTCCCTGCGGCTCCGAGACCCGGGCTAACGCCTCCTGCCCACTCACCTCGTTGCCAGAAAGGTGGTACATCCTGGCTTCCTGGAGCAGCGAGAAGACCTCCGGGCACTGCCTGATGAGGGGATCGGCCTCCACCACGTCCACAAAGTACCACGGGTCCAGGAGCGGCAGGCGCACGTTCTCCAGGATGCAGGGCAGCAGGCAGAGCCGCTCCGACTGCTTGTGCCTCACCCAGCTCATCACCGTCTCGAACACCTGCGCCTCCTCCGTCACATACAGGTCGTCGCTCTTCAAGACGTGGTACAGAGTGTCCACCGGAAGTTCAAGGAACTCCTCGGAGTTCAGAATCTGCACGAAGTTCTGGATGATGTAGCTCTGCACCTGCTTCTTCAGGGAGTGCAGGGAGTGCGTGTCTGCCAGCCTCAGGATGCCCACGCAGTTCTCCGGGTTCAAGGCTTCTGTGAGGAAGCTGGCGCAGGCGTCCACCATCCGCAGGAACTAGCGGGAGAGAAGGACGGCAAATCAGGCCTGAGAGTGAGAGACCGCGGGGATGCTCCTCGCGGAGCTGCGCGTAGTCACATAAAATTCGAAATAACCTACGCGTCCGACCTAGGGGACCGACTGGCTACAGGATACATTCACACAGCCAACCGCTCTGTCGTCATCAGAACACATGCTGTAGAAGAATGTTAACGTGGAAAATGTTCATAATGTATTGAGCTTTTAAAAATCCACTGAATCTGACTCAGCCTCTAGGTGTATTTGCTTTTTTATTTTACATTTTATTGAACCCAGGGCATTGAACATGTCAGGCAAGTAAGCTACTACTGATCTACATCCCCAGCACAAGCTTGGAGATTTAACCAGCAGTTTGCAGGAAATATAAAGGAAAATTGGAGCATGTTAATTAAATGACTCTTCAGAAATACAATCAACAAAATCCAGACTGTGAGAAACTTACAGAACATCTGATTCAGTGTCTTCAACAAATGTATTTATTACAAGGGCAAAATGGGGAGGAAAAAGAGGGAGGGAAAGGTGGAGGAAAAGAACACAAAGACAAGAGATGTAAGGGCTGGGGTATAGCTCAGCGGCAGAGCACTTGGCTAGCACGTGCAAAGCTTTGGGTTCCAACACCAGCAACCCACAAATAGGAGAGAAAGTGAAAACACACAAGATAGAGGGAGAGAGAGAGTGAAGAGATATTACTGACCTACTAAAAATAGGAAATATGGACCTTATTTGGATCCCTGATTTAAACAACATAATGTTGTCAGAAAAATATTTACTACGGTCTTATTCGGTGGTAACAAAGTAATTAATATTACTTTTAGGTGTCATAATGGTCTTGTTATATTTAAAGAGAATTCTTACCTTTTAAATACGTACACTGAAATAGTTACAGATGAAATGAGGAAAATCAAATGCATACTACAAACCTATTTTTATAAAGAAAAAATATACAGAAGAAAAGATTGAAGGATGTGGACCAAAATATGAACAGTTGTCTCTCTGCATGCCCGGCATCCGGGGCAGATCTTGCTGTGATCACAAACAACCTTCACATCTCAGGCTCACATCAGAGAACGCTTAATCCAAATCCACACTCCATATCCTTCGTGGACTCTTCATTCCTGCACCCTGCATGCAGGAAAAGCCCTAACCTGAGATGGGCCGGCCTCGTGTGACCGAGGAGATGCCGTACACGTGCCATACACGGCCTCTGAAAACTTCAAAGCTGGCTCCTGCCCCCTCCCATCCGCACTGCACTGGCCACAGTGAGTCACACGGCAAAATGCGTCACCAACACAATGGCGATCTTTGCACAGAAAATGGTCCCACGGAGAGGGAGGGAATACGCTACAGACACATGGTAACAGAGTACTGAACTCTCCATAAGACCATGAGAGCTTTTCCATCTTTCCTAATTTATATACTTAATTTATTTCTATACCCCTCAAATGAAAGCTTCTGTAATTACAAAATTAATTTGTTAAGTTACTGATCAGCTCCCATGTCCCACTTTTATATTATTGTCATACTCATAAAGGACTGCAGACTACAAAGCACAGTCAAATCCATTATTTAGGAAAAGCCACTTTTCAGGGGCAGCATCTCAAGTGCACCCTCACTTGCTCACGTCGCTGCGATGGAGAAGCCCCATCTCCTGTTCCCCTCTTTGCCCACTGGGCCTCTTAGGGCCGAGGGCTCAGTGCACTTGAGCCGATCTGGGAAAGGAGGAGGCTGAAGAGAAGGTGCAGGTGCTGTAGGCCAGTTTCCTAAGGGCATCGTTCCTCGGGGAACAATGTTGCCCTTGTCCATATCCACGAAGGACACGGAATACGAATATGGATAAGCGTTCTCTGACGTGAAACCAAGTTGCAAAGGCTTTTTCTTACTGCAGCAAGATCCACCCTGGAATGCCAAGAACACAGAGAGATTACAACTGTTCATATTTTGGTGAGAAGATGGGTGGGACAGCATGCAGAAGAGGGGCTCTGGTGACAGGAGGGAGGACAGAGGGGTTGTGGAGCCTGAGGGAGGGGGGCGTATGCTGGGCTGGTCTTAGACTGGACCCAGGTGACTGGGGCTCAGACTTCACTTCAAAGCATCCTATGGGCACACATCCAAACTTCCTGCATCGATCCCTACCGCAAAATATGATCTTTTCCTGTCAGCCCACAGCTTCCCTCTGTCCCTTAGGAAATGCTTGCCTTGAGGGCCCGTGCTAAGTTGGAGAGAGTCTAGCTTTAGCCGCAGCTCTCCCTCTCTGCAGCTCCAACCACCTGCAGCTGGGCTCCTCGCTTGAGCAACTGTGGAAACGGTTAAGAGAGAGAACCCTAACACCTGTGTAGTTGTTTGCAGATTTTCAGTTCGGAGAATAAAAATAGCCAAAGCCAAGTGCCACTGAGCCCTCAGAAACTGGCAGACTCCAGAGCCCTCTGTGGCCTGCCAGGAGAGACATCTACAAGTGGGAAAAGAAAATGCAGGAGGTGGCCTCCAGAGCAAAATGCCACAGCCACCACGCTAGCTTGTCTGGGAAGAAGATGGGGGGGGCATTGAATGGGTATTTTTAATACTTCTTTCTCTGGGAGGCTGATGTAGATCTGGGAGCAGTGGTTTCTCTAGGAAAGGCAATCCATGACTGGGGTAGGGCAAAAGGGAGAATTACTTTTCACTCTCTACTCTTTTGTACCCTCTCTAATTGTGTGTAGGAATTGCTGTTTTAAAAAAGCTTTCTCAAGAACAAAGAACATACTAGAAGGTAACATATACAATGCTAATAACAATTATAAATATTTTTAAGACCTTGTCATCATACAAAGTTTTCTATACTGAACATGAATGTTTTAAAAACAGGGAAATATATAAAACAAATATTTTCTTATGATTTCAAAGTATGCAATGAGAAAATAAAATTAAATATAAAAAATAAAACAAAGGACACCTGTTATGTGCCAAATCTCTTATACTGAGTTATTCAATCATCAAACTACAATGAAGTCAATATTTATGACCATTCCTTTTGTACAGATGAAGAAACCAGGCTGTGAGGAGGGAGTAATTTACCCTAGAGACTTACAGCTAATAAGAGATAGAGCTCAATTTTGAACTACTGTTCTCTGACCCTAAAAATGTGTGTTTTTCAAATTATTCTCAACTGTTTCAGGTCAAATAGTGCAGGCCTGTGGGGAGCAGGCGCTACACCAGCGAGCTTAGTATCTGATCTGACCAGACACCCAAAGGTCTGGCCAGGAAGATGCCGATACCTAATGAACAAAGAAGGAAGCCTCGGAGAGAATCAAATCAAGGACCAAAGTTCGTAGTTGTTAGAAACATTAATCCAGGTTTGTCTCTCTCCTCTCAGAAACAGTTGATTGGTCCATTCAGCCCCCCAGTCATGTACCAATGCACCCCACTGTCCCCTGATGCTGGAGCCCAGGGGTGGACAGAAGGAGACAGCACTGGGACATTGGAGCTGACCGCCAGGCGGGAGGCAAACGCTAACCAAACCACGCATAGTGTAAAATTATATCCGTGATCCAGCCTGAAACCAGAGTCAGCGATACTCCAAGCCCTCAGTCTCACAGAGCCCCAGCCACAAGCAGCCGTCTCCTCTCCTTCTACAAACACTCCCCAGTACACCTTGCTATGCTTGTGCCACCTCCTGGTCCGTACAACTCTTCTCTCTCAGCACCAGCTGTTAAGTCCTACTCCTCTCACCTAGATGACTCGATGTCAGAGCCAATTGTTTAAGGAATGTCTAGGGGTCGCTGATCCCATTTTCAACCGCAGAGTCCCCTTAAAATCTACCCAAGACGGGAGAAAGAGTGACTATCGTGCCCATCACTACATCTACGTAGGACTGTTTTCCTCCCTGCAGTTATTCAATCTGGGTCCCTAGGTGGGCTCCAGAGTGTCTGTGAGCCCCTAACAAGCATGTTCTGACCTTTGCACACTGTGGCATTTTTCTGAGAACTGAGCTTGCAGGGGACACTGAGTTACTCCCATTCCCCTGGGGACAAAGCAATATGAGAGGTGGGGCTGGGGGGTGGGAATCGAATCCTGGTCAGATTGGGCTTGGAAATTTCCCCATCTCTGGACTTTGAAATTCTGTGTCAATAACTGTACAAGAAAAAAAAGGGGGGGGAATGGAAACAGGAATGGAAAAGCAGAGAAAACTTGTCCGTCCTTGGAGTTTGGTCCCCCCTCTCAAAGTCACCTATTTCCTGCCTGATGGCTCTCCAAGCCCCCGACATGAGGTCAGTTCCTCCCTGGCTAGTGCCCACGGGGCAGCCCGCTTGCCCTTGACCTGAAGCTGCTGTCATATTTCTGCCTTGCGCCGTGGTCAGTGGAGGTGAGCACCTCAGAGGCAGGTTCTAGGTCACACTTGTGTTTTTATTTCCGGTGATATCAGACACAAGAGGAAGGAGGGAAGGAGAGATCGAGGAAGGAAATATTATCAGACACCTAGATCGGACTGAGATCTCTTTTCCATCCATTATTTCGTTTAACCAGTAAATTTTATTTTTTAACTAATAAATTTTAAAAAATGAAAAAAGAAAGGTGTTAGTATCACAACTCAGAGAGGAGGAAATGGAGAATTCAGGATTAAGGATGTTGCCCAAGGTGGCAGAGAGGACCCTCAGGACCCTGCTGCCTTTGTAACTCACAGCGCTGAATTGCTGAGGGGTCTCAAGAGGCCTGGGGACCCTACAGGTAGGCAGGGGCTCCAAGTTGCCCAAATTCCCCAAGCTGTGCTTCACTACTTTTGAGAATGAGAAGGGTAGGGCAGGATCCTGTGATTCGGACCAAAGGCTTAGAATCCACTGATATACAGGGCAATTATGGAAACAAGAAATTAGGGTATTTTAATCCTTTTTTTTCTCCACATGCGAGATTATTGGACACTTTCCACCTCATCCTTTTCCAGCGAAACACGAACTTGTCTGTCATTGTTGAGGGGTGACAGATAATGACAACAGATCACCAACTTC